TGAATCTTATTGTTCTCCAAATGCTCCTGTGTTAGGGGCATGATCCCCAGCTGATAGGAGTTGAGGTCATTGGGGGGCCAGGAAAGGGCTCTTAGGTTTCAGGGGCTGACACTATGGGAGTGGCGGGAACCTCAGGAAGAGGGCCCTGATGAGGAAAGGGAGGTTCTTGGGGCATGCCCTTGAGGGGTCAGCAAGGCCCCATCCCTTCCTCTCTCTCTTTGCTGCCCTGCCTTGCTCTGTCATATGTTCCCTCCCATGGTATCCTACTTCTCCACAGGCCCAAAGCAAGGATACCGACTGGCCATGGACTGAACTCCTGAAACCATGAGCCCAAATAAGCCTTTCCTCCATATAAGTTGTTATGTCAGGTATTTTGTCATAGTGGTGAAAAAAACCCAATAAAGGTACTATAAGTCATGGAATATTGGGCAGTGAGAGTCTCAAAATGAGGGGGCAAAAGAGGGGTGAGATCTCAGTTTTAAACATGAGACAGATTAACACAAAAGACAGCAAGGTAACTTAATAGTTCTGTCTGCTGTCAGTTTGAGGTGAGCGTACTCCCAGCAAGCTGAAGGGCTGTTAGTTTCCAGAAAAATCAAGGGTCTTATAGCTTGGAGAGGCCTAAAGGATTATTTACTTAAGTTTTACAGTTCACTTCCAGGAAAACGGGGTCCAAGAAGTAGGAATGACTTTTTCTTCTGGAACCCAGCTCCCTCAGATGTATGTCAGACTTGCAAAAGGCACATAGTATACTACCTGACCCCAAGAAAGCTATAATATTGGAGAGCACTGTGAAGATCATTATGTGTGGGGCAGAGCTGTTATGAGGGGAATCGTGTCCTCTACACATTTTTCAATTGAAGTCGTAACTCTTAGCATCTCAAACACAACCTTATCTGGAAATATGACTGGTGCAGATGCAACCAGTTAAGATGAGATCACACTGGAGAAGGATGGGCCCCAAATCCAATGGACTGCTGTCCTTATTAAAAGGGAAAGTTCAGCAATGTGCAGGGAGAATACCACATCAACATGAAGGCAGAGATTTGAGTTATGCATCGCCAATCCACAGAATGCCAAAGATTTTCTGAAAACCACCAAAAACTAGGAAGGGGGTCTGGAATAGCTTCTCTCTCACAGCTTTCTGAAGGAATCAACCCTAACCTTGATCCACCTCTGGGACTACGAGACAATACCTTCCTATTATTTAGGCTGCTCCGTGTGTGGTACTTTGTTATGGCAACTCTAGGAAACTGATACAATGGCTGTAAGCAAGATTATAAAGGAGCCATAGGAAGTAGACAGTGTGGAAGAAGAAGCATACATTAATGAACTAATGAAGCTATGAATTAATCCATTTCAACAGTAAGTGTGTGTGAGAGACCTCACTTGGCCTTGGAGCATGTAGAATTAGAATCACACGCTCCTTGCTTGAAGTGTAATCTAAATAGGCACGTAACAAGAGTACATGCTAAACGAATGAGACAGACAGTGGCCTGGATGTAGAAAGTAATATCTGAGCCAGGCCTTGAAGGATGAGCGTGTTTGCTCGCTGGTTGATTGGTGGAGGTAATTATTTCTGCCACTTGAGAGTTTCCTATAATCTCTTACCTGGTCCACATACCTATCAAAGGGACAAAACTACAGCCTTGCTAAAGCTCCTCAATCTAGTAAGTCAAACAAACAGCCCCAACAGCCCAAGCTAATTTTCATTGTCCCCTGGCCTAGTTGGCCTCCCTTTGTAGGAAAAATAGCAACAGAGATGCTGACCTCAGGCTATTCAGGCCCAAGTCCCTCTGGAGCATCACATCCCTCTCGAGTAAGAACTAGTTTCAGAAACTCACCCTGGTGGGGGGTCTTCCTAGTCTAGCTGCCCAGACCTCTCTGTAATGATTGTGTTTTTCTATGTATTAAAAACAACACAAATAAGCTTTTCTTTCCCAATGTTGCATGCTTAAGAAGCCAAGCCTTCAGCAAGTCATTAATATTTTGATATTTTGAAGGGCTAGGCTTCCAGGTTCGGAAATAGGAGCCAGGCCTTCTGTCCTTGTTTGTGAGATCTTTTGGCTCTCCCACGTTAGGGCCCTCCAGGCTCTTAACTTACCTCCCAAAGGCCATTTCTCTGAGCAAAGCTCCTAAGGAACATTGCAAAGACTGGAACCAATTGCAGTTGGAGGTGCATCTGCCTTTAGGGGCTGATGTTAAAACTTCTGGGGAGAAGGGGTCTTTCCTGGCTCCTTTTACCTCCCCTCTGGTCTAACGCACTCTCTGAAATTCCATAGAGATGATGAACCTATTCTTTTAGGTTCATAAGGGAGAACACGGAACAAGATGGGCCAGAACACAAGCCAGTAGTTTGGAAAGCCTTTGGGCAGAGCGTGTGTCTTCATCAGCCCCAGGCCCCAGGGCTCCCTCAGGGCATTTCATCAGGCCCCATTGATTTAGGCTGTTACCTGTCTGGCCTCTCTAGACGCTTGTTTTGATAACCCTTGCTTGGCTCCTTTGTATATACAATTTGACCACCACTTGGGCGGAACTATTTCAGGATTTCTATCTCCAGTCCATCCCTTTCTCTTCAAGCTTCTGACTCTTCTAATTGCTTATTCCCCAGTGCCTCATCCTTAATCAGTTCATCATCATGCCTCACAAAACTATCTTTTCCAGGATTCCTTTATCTGGTCCACTAAATCAGAACCTGGAAAGCATCCTTGACCCCTCCCTTTCTAGCATATCCAATTAGCCATGAAGATCTATTAGTCCTTCCTAAAAGTCTCTTTTAACTGTTGCCTTTTCTCTTTTCTTGCCAGGATTACACTGATTTTCGACTGTATCATCTTTTACTTAAATTATTACAACAGCTTCCCAAAGGGTCTCTCTCCTATCAGTTCATTTCCATCCAATCCATTCTCTACTTAGTCAACATACTGTATTTTAAAATGTAAATCTTCAGTCCAAAAAAAACTGGAAATGGAAGGAAACTACTTCAACACAATGAAGGCTACATGTGAAAAACTTACAGCTAACAACCATACTCAGAAACTGAAAGCTTTTCCTCTAAGACAGGTAACAAGACAAGGATGCCTGATTTCACTGCTTCTATTCACTACAATAGTGAATTCCTGGCCAGGGCCATTAGGCAAGAAAAATAAAGTCATCAACCTAGGGAACTTTGAAGTAAAAATCCATATCTTTGCATGATATGATCTTATATCTAGAAAACTCAAGATCCCACAAAGGCTTTTAGAACTAATAAATGAATTAGCAAAGTTCCTAAACACAAAATCCACACACAAAAATCAATTGCATTTCTGTACATTAACAGTGAATGATCAAAAAAGAAAAGTAAGAAAGCAATTCCATTTCTAATAGCATCAAACAAGAATAAAACAGAAATAGAACTAACAAAGAAGATGAAATACTTGTCTACTGAAAAACTATAAAACATAGCTGAAAGAAATTTAAAAAGACACAAATAAATGGAGAAACATTCACTTTTGGTCACTGAAAAGACTTACTATTGTTAAGAGGCTAAAACTACTCAAGGCAATCTACAGATTTAATGTAATACTTATTAAAATCTCAATGACTTTTTGCAGAATTAAAAATTTTTTTCCTCTAAAAATCCACGCTGAAATTCATGTGGCATCTCAATGGACCTGACCAGCCCAAACAATCTTGAAAAGGAAGAACAAAGTCAGAAGAAATCTTAACTTTTTGAATTCAAAACTTACAGCAAAGTTAGAATAATCAAAACAGGCAATTACTGGAAAAAGACATAGACGTACAGAACAAAATAGAGAGTCTTTAAATAAATTTGCATATATGGCCAAGTGACTGATACATAGGGTAGTTAATTTCTATGTCAATTTGAAGGGATTAAGAAATGCCTAGTGGATTAGTGAGCACGGTTCTGAGTGTGTCTGCGGATGATTTTGCCACAAACTGAGGAGGAAAAACCTGTCCCAGATGTGAGTGGCACCAACCAGTAGGCCTGTAGCCTGGATGGAATTAAGAAGGAAATCTTTCTTTTTGCTTCCTGAAAGAGAGTCCAAGTCTTCACCGTTGTATTTGGACATTGGTCTCCAGTTCCTTCAGGTTTCCAGGGAAGACTTTTCAGTCTTCCAATTCACACTCTTAGGCATTCTGACACCTACTGGAGATTGAAATTTAAAATCCAGAGGGCAAGAATTCTGGGCCCTAGTCCTGGTACTGTTTATTTGAACTTCCACAAATAAAACTTTCTTTCTGAATTTCAGTTTCTTCATTAGTAAATGAGGAATGCAGTACTTTGCTTTCTATCTTATTAGGTGTTTTAAAAGTCAAATCAGCCCATGAAGAGTAGAGTGGACGAACAAAGCATATTCACACAATGGGTATTATATAGCAGTATGAATGGCAAATGACAACTGTATGCAGTGACGTGGATAAATCACACAAACATCATGTTGACAAAAGAATCCAGGTATAAAAGAATGTAACACTGCATGATTATGCATACAGAAAGTACAGAAGTGGACACAACTGGTCTAAACTGCAAGAAGCCTGGATTCTGGCTTAGCAGGTGAGCAGTATCTGGACAGAGACATAATCGAGCTCCTGGGGCTTTAGTAGCATTCTACTTGCTCATTTGAGTATTCATTATTAAGAGTTGTTCAGCTAATGAAAATTCAACAAGCCATACCTTTCTGATATGCACACATTTCTGTATGTATCATATACTTCAATATAAAATATAAATTCCATTTTACAGAAGAGGAAAGAGAAATCACCACGGAAAATGGGAAATGTGCTTAAGGTCATTTGGATCAAAGGCAAAATATGACTTCTCAAATTCAGGCTTTAAGGTAACTCAACATAAAACAAACACTAGAGAAAAGGAAGTCTTAAAAATCTGAACAGTGTTAACTCTGGGGCTTGGACACATTTCTTACCCATTTTGTGGATTCAATTTCCTCACCTTTCACATCCAGATACTAATACCTAATTTCTGTAAATCACAGATGGTGAAGTCTAAGCTCTGTGACATGGAGTTCTCCCTCTCCAGGACTCCACAGGTATACACAGGAGAGCCAGAAGGTGAGTGGCAGAGGGAAGAGGTGAAACCCACTCAGGAAATGGAAGGAAATGAAAATAAAAGAGAGAGGGGAAGTAAAAACTGAAGGTAAACTACTTGTAAGAAATGGGTGGGTGAGAAAGATTTGGGAAACCACTGATAGGAAAAGAATGATAAACATGTGTATCATGCAAATTACCTTTAAAGACAGTTTTCCGCTGTTCACAAAGGCAGCATGGTACATTGGAGGGAGTATTGAGTCTTAGTGCAAATTTCACAACTTTATATCCATGGCATATGTCATGTAAATGTTCGCAGTCTTTGGTTCTCTATTAGACGGCAATATTAATACCTACCTGACTCTTTGGAAAGAATGTCATGAAAACATAAAGATGTTTATAATAAATAGCAATGATGATAGTGATACAAGCATTACTGTTGGGAAGTTTAAAAAGTAAGATATATTGGGCTTTTTAGGAATTGAGGAATTCATGGAAAATTTTAAAAGTCCATATTTCTCAGCCTTTTAAATTGGTCTTTACCCTAAAATCCTGAAAGAGAATGGCTTCCCTGAAGTATATGTACAGCTTCCTTGGACTCTACAAGGTTAGAAGCCTCCCATCTCTCATGATTGAACACTTCCAAGACATTGGATCATTTCCTGAACTTCATTTATTTAATAACTAATCTTTTATTGCCTTCCCTCTTTTAAAGTCAGCCAGTCTCGTTCCCACCTACATCCCCTTTCAAGGTCTCACCTCTTTAATCACTTGGATAATACTCAGACACACTACAAACCATTTAGATGGAGAGCTGATAAGTGAAGGTCATTTTTTCTATCATCTACTTCTCAGATGACTTTCAATAATCTCAGCAAATCACTCATGTCACTCTCCCGGGCCACCTCATTAATATTCCCAGGCAACAGGTTTCTTTTGGCTCTTTGTCTGGGAAAGACTGCTTTCCGTGGCCCTAGGACTCCAGGAGAATGAGTCTGTACTTGGAATTCCCACAAAGCCCTCAACTGCAAGATTCACATTTCCCAAGTTGCTGATAAAGCTGCTGTCTCTGACCCATGATTCCGCGGCACACACCGAATCTGAATCACTGTAGTTAATCCTCACAAAACCTACCTAGGCATGTTGGTGTGTCCATTTAAGGATGGGCACACCTAGATCCAGGAGAGTGCTATAGCATGGTTGTCTGAGCAATCCCGCAAACCTACTGAATATGAATCTCTGGGGAGAAATCCCAGGTTTGACACCCCTAAACCCCCTCGTGGTTCCAATGCAAGCTCATGCTTGAGAAGCACCTTGCCAAGTTCACAGGGCTGATTAAGTGGCAAAATGAGGCTTGGAAACCAGCCTGGCTGACTCCTAAGCCAGGGTCATAGGACATTAGAATGATATGAGAGGGCTCCCAGAAATCTGAAGGTTCGAAGTAAAATTACCTCGTATAATAAAGATGTCTGTTGTTTCTTACAGTAAGATATATGGAGACAGCTTAGCTCCAGGATTGGTTTAATTAAGTAAGTCAGTGGCTTTTTGCCTACAGCTCAGCAGCATCTCTTGGCTTTCTCTCCATGGTCAGAAGAGGACTGTAGCAATTCCAGGTTTCACATTTAGTTTTTTCAGTGTCTGGGATCTGGGGAAAGAGCAGGAGAAAAGCTGTATCCTCTTCCATGTTTCTGTGGTGAGGACTCTGGTTTTTCCCCAAAGAGCTGTTTCCCTCAATAGAAATTCCCAGGGCTTCCTCACATGTTCATTCTCAACACAGTGGGTGGACCCGCTAGTCAGAGTAATGGGTCCGAGTCATGAATCGGTGAAAGCCTCATAAGAGCCAGTATTCAGATTTCACAGAAAAGGACACTGAAGCTGGGAGGCATTGAGTGCTGGCCCGAGTCTGCCCATAAGTGACAGAGTCAGGTCAAGTCTGTGCCCTTAGTATTACACCATCACTCACTGGGGCCAAAGGAGGGTGCATGTAGTAATAGCCAGGGCAGCGTGACTCAGGGAGCACTTGCCTTCCACCCTGAGAGGCATCACTTCACTTGTTTACTTCTTCACTGCATCGTTGGCATCTCAGTTAGTCTTTCAGCCAACATTCTGCTCATCAGGAGATACGGAGACAGCTGTCTAAACATTCATAAATCGCCTGACCAGAACTTAGAGAAAATGTGAAATAGGAAAAAGCCAAACCTTGAGGGCGGAGTCTATGGATTTGCATCAGAGAGGTGACACTGTCCATTCTGAAGTGAGGAACAGGTTAAAAACCATACCTTTCAAGTGGAATTTGAATTTTACTTATTAGAAGGAAAACTTGAATTACCACATTGTAGAACTGAGAGGCATCTTTAGCTGGAGTTTGTCTGGTCTCTTATTTCACAAACACATCAATTGTCAGTGATTCTGCAAGACTAATAGGGCTAAAGAGTGGCAGAAAGGAGACTCAAATGCAAATCCTTGGATTCCTACGTTAGGGAATATCAGAAATTTTTATTTCTAGAGCTTGTTGTGCATGAAGTGCCAAGTAATTTGCTCTCACAAAGCAAAAGGTATATGATCTCATAAGGCCCTGAACACATTGCAGGGTTGCAGAAAAAGAGGGGCAAGTCACTGAAGACTGTGATTTTTCCTGAACCTACCCATGGGAAACAGTAATTTTCAAAGTTGTATCAAGGTAACAACCAATCCGGTGTCTGAGTCAGAGGTGAGCTATACATTCCAGGAACTGGAGGGCATCATGCAGATTCTGTCATCTTTTCAATAAAGCAAAGAAGAGAGCTGGGCTCAGACCCAGCTAATATATACTACGCAGAACACAGCAGAAAAACATAGGTTTAAAATAGCTGGGGCAAAGAAAAAGTGTGTAGTCTGCTAGAATGGTATATAATGTATGACAGGAGATGGATGCCTACCAGGTGGGCAGCAGATGGAGGGACAGTAACCAACAACATCACTGGTGCCTCCCCACCACCCCTCCACCAGAAGAAAGTATTCCTGGGGAAGGGATAGATGGTACTTGGTGCAGGCATAAGGAAAGTTTAGAATTGAGATCCTACACTGTCTGGTGCCTGGGTTTCTTCCCCTGTGTACTGAGGAATGCTGTGAGGATCAACCGAACCAGGGCTATAAAGCACATAGCACAGTTCTGGGCTCACAGTGGATGTTTCACTCATGACCATGCCTCCACCCCTTTAGTCTTCCTCTGTTTGGTATAACTTGTGGTCTCTGTGCCCCCTCTCCAGGTGCCATTTGGATCTCAGAACCTGTATCTTTTCATGTGGAAAAGATACCTCTGTGAAGCAGAGGTCTTGCTGCAGACAGAGGTCAGGGTATTGAAGGCAGTGTGGGTGTTTGGACTCTCCATTCGATGCCTGCTCCTTGGCTTCAGTGTGGTGTGCCTGGGATGCTGGTTGCCATGACCACCTAATTATTTCCTCTAGGTCTGACCACCACAGAGAATTGAAATGCTTGCCAAACTCCCAGCCAAACAAGCAGCAGATGTTCGATTTGAAAAAACACATCTTTCCTGAACAATAATGTTTGGTTTCCCTTCAATCACACTAAGCCACCCACAGAAATGGGGGCAGGGAGAGGCAGGTGTGGGTAGCAAGGAAGAAACACAGAAGCAGTGGCGACATGATGGGGACCAAGCGATGGACTCTGTCTTCCCCTGGGTGGCCCTTTCAGGAGATGCTTCTTGCTGACATGACATACTGGTTCATTTTGAGTGTCACTCCATATGTTCAATGGCCTTGGGAGAAGCTCTGTTACCTAATAGCAGAGAGGGCAAAAAGTGCAGCTTTTAGAATCAAGTGTGGGAGTCAATACCACTTTTCCCTCTGACTAGCTTGGTGACGTTGGCCAAGTTCACTTCTCTGAGGTTTAGTTTCCTCATATAAAACGAAGATGACAATACCTTCCTCGAAGAGTGGTGGAATTGAAGCAAAAAGCATGGAGATTTAACACAGTGCTCAGGAACCTAGTAATTCCATGATAGAGGTCAGCTATAAATCTGTTTTAAAATCCAAGCATAGTCTAATAGATCCACTCTTCCACAAGGTACTGTATCAGTGACTAATTTTGAGAAGTACAGAATCCCATCCAAACAAAAGCCATCTTAAAATTACTTAGTATAATGTCATTATTTTATTGCAGAGGAAATTAAGATCCAGAGAGGTTGAGGCACAGCTGGTTAACAGCTAATTAATAGCTGGGCTAGTCTTAGAATTCTAGAGTCCTAAATCTAAGCCAGTGCTCTTTCTTTCCAGCAACCAACAATGCATAAGAAAGAGAAAGAAGGAAGGAAATTAGAATTTATTTAGCATCTATGTTGACAGGTATTATTCATGAATCATTTCATTTAATACTCATGGACAACAGAATATAAGACATTATCATCCTCATTTAACAAATGAAGGTACTAGAACATAAACTCTAAAGAACCAGGAGAATGCCTTTCTTATTCCTTTGTCTTTAGGAGGCAGAACAGTGTCTGGAACTCAGTAGGTGCCCAATAAATATTTGTGAATGCACAGGGTGAAATATTCTGACAAAATCAGATCACTAATGAAGGATAGAACTAGGACTTGAAATGCAATCTGTCTCCAAAGCCCATACATTTTTTGAGCTGGCCCTTGTATTTTTTAAGACAACAGACAAATCTGTTTACTTCCAGAATACTCTGTCTTCGTATTTTGGTAGTGGAAAGTATTTGGTGGTTGAAAACATCAGAAAAGAACTAGAACTAGTTATAAGACTGAGGGGAATCATTACAGAAATAAGGGATGTCTCGTGGAACCTAATCACAGAGATCCAGTGAACCTGCCCATGGCCTGGAGCTAGGATCTCAATCCCATTTGGAAACCAGTTTCTCCCTAGTGTCTCCCTGCTCTTCTGTGTCTTTCCCCACCCCTGTTCCCTTTCTCTCTGAAAAACAGTCTCCATCGGTATCTGCAATTCTGTGTAAGAAATTCAACTGCCAGGAAAGAAATCGACTCTCAAGCCCAATTAAAGTATCTTGCAGAACAGATGTGATTGGCCTCATTCTGGTTTGACTCCAGGGCTGTAACCATTCACTCTGGCCAGGGAAAGATCAGAGAATATGAACTTGGCTTCTTGGGATTGCTCCCTATACATCATGTGGGTGACAGAGTGGGAAAGTTCTGAGAATACAGGGGCTGAAAAATAACCCCTAAGGCATCCAATGCCTCTTCCTGAGTCATGAAGCACTGGTTTCAGGTGTCACCAAGCCAAGGGGCATCCTTGCCCTTACTGCAGTTTGGTCTTTCATTCATTTGATGTTGGACAGACTCTGTTCTAGTTTAGACAAAGCCAGATAAATCGGTGGCCTTGGAGGCCTAAAATCTTACTTCTTCAGTTATGTCAGGTCTCCTGTATCTTCTAATAAACTACCCCTTTGCCCAGTCTTATTTGAGATGGGTGTTTGTTCTCGCCAATCCACAGAATTCTGACAAGTAAGTCAGTATGCTCAGGGAGTGGGACATTACCTCCATTAGCTCCTCAGTGCTACAACTGACAGATCCCCAATATAAACTGGCTGGCTCATGACAGACTAGGGAGGACTGTGGAGCAGGATATTAGCAATCCTTGGTAGGGAGCAGAACATGAATTGATTAAAGCATTACTGGCCATCTACTAGAATTCAGAACATTGTCCACAAAGCAGTAACTTTAGGTGACCTGGCAGAAAAATCTTAAAATAGTGTTGCACTTGGCTATTTCTTCAGGTAAGAAGTAGATTTGGGCCAATGTGATACCAAATACAGAATAGCTGGACTGGTTTACAGCCTTGTTAAAAGATTTCATTTCTTTCTACCTATAGTTAGTTAGAAGATTTGAACCTGATGAATCAGGTGATCAAAGGCCTTAAGCACACAGCCTTGCCAGTGTGGAGGCACTGCCTGTAACCACAGCACTCTGAGAGGCTGAGGCAGAGGGATTGCAAGTTGGAGCTAGCCCTGGTGACTTAGTGACTAGCACACCAAGCAGGATCTTGTGGGTTCAAAAGGATCAGGGGAACTTGATGCTCTGCTTGCTTCTGAGTGATTCTGCTACGGGGTCCCTGTCTGAGAGATTCAGAAGCACACAGGAGGGGAATAAGGACGTGTGGCAAGGAGCTGCATGGTTGGAAAGATGAGCTTTGCCTCACTGCTCCAGACTGTTGCTCAAATTCAGGGGCAGAAGCTAATAAGCTAAGAGTTAGGAGACAGAGTTGCCAAGGGTGACATTAAAAGCTGTTGTTGCCAGGTATGCTGGTGCATGCCTGAGATCTCAGCACTTGGGTGACTGAAGCAGGAAGATTGGCACAAGTCCTAGGCCAGCCTGAACGACATAGCAAGACCCTGTCTCAAAAACAAAACGAAACAAAAATTTAAAAAAACCAAACAAACAAAAAAATAAAAACTTGTTACAAAAGAAGGGTCCAAACTAAAAAAAAAAATTTTTTTGGCACAATTGCTGTTGTTGGCTACTAGTAATCTAAGTCTTCTCACGGTCTTTCCCGCCACCTCACACCATCAATAGATCCAGACAATCAAAGACTAAGAGTTTACTTGGAGAAATGCTCAAGCCTGCCTCTTCAACCCTTGAAACAACAGGAATGATCTGGGTGGCACATCCCCTGGAGTGGAGTTCCGGATTCTGGAGTCCTCCTGGAGGGTGGGGCCCAGGCAGCCGGATGATTGGCTGGGAGCACAGATGTCCTGGGGTGCTCATTCCCTCCACGCTTTCCGCAGGGTCTCCCCACCCTCACTTCCCTGATCCTGGCCCAGTGAGCACTGGGGAGCTGGGTGCGTCACTTAGCACTTAGGCTCCACTACCTCCAGATGCCACTGCCAGCTGTGTGCGAGAGGAGGGATTGGCCTTTACCAGAAAACTGAGTTTGCAAATCGCTGGATTTGGATATGGATTTGTCAGCTAAACAGTTTTTAGTTTTCTCCTACCGGGAAAGGGAGACGTTGGATAAAATGAGGTTTATCTAATAATAATAGCAGAAACCTATTGAATCCTTATTCTGTGTCAGGATTGGCCTGAAGGTTTGTCCTAGTCAGCCTCGGAGGTGGCTACTATTATTACCAGCATTTAATGTAGATATTAAAGTGCCTTGCTTAAAGCTGAACTAAGATTTGAATCCATGCCTTGAGCTTGTAACCATTATATTGTATTTCTTTGTAGGTGACTTACATGCTGGAGTTTGCCTTGTTTCTTTCTTCTATCATTACATCTTCCCAACAGCTTTTTGTTATAATGTTTTTGAGGTGCCACTGGCATGCAACAACTAGGAAATAATGGTGAGTTTTGATATATATTTCTTTTTTTGTACCAGGGATCAAACTCGGGACCTTGTGCTTGACATATATTTCTACCCGTGGAAAAAAATCACTATAATTCAGACAAGGAATCACCATTCAAATTTTCCTTATATCTCTGTAATCCACTCCTTTTCCAGTTTCACCTCCATTCTAGGGAAATAATCCTAATTAGGGAACTAATTCCCCATTAGGGAACTAATCTCCTTTCTATGGCTATAGACCAACTTGCATTGTTAAGAATTTTATGTAGTTGGAATCATATCATTTGTACTTTTTATTGTCTGCCTTCTTCCACACCATTATTTTGAGATGCATCCATCGTGAGTGGATCAGTATTTTATTACTTATAAATATATTTATTTTATTTATTTCTGCGTAGCAGAATACATACCTATGTAGCAGTATACAAGCATAGCTGCTGTGCATACCCATGTCCATGTGTTCAGGTAGGCATGTTAATTTAAATAAATCTCCAGCAATGCAATGGCTGGTTGTATGGTAGGTTTATGTTTAGCGTTTTAGGAACCTGCCTAATATTTTTTCAAAGTGGTTGCTCTGTTTTACATTCTCACAGGCAATGTCTGAGAGTTCCAGTTGCTCCATGTCTTGCTGATGCTTGCTAGGACCATTTTTTTTTTAGTGTCAGCCTTTCTAGTCTGCATGTGAAGGTATTTCATTGTGATTTTAACTGTTTTTTTCCTAGCAAACAGCAAAGCCAAGCGTTTTATGTGCTTACTTGCCATCTACATTTCTTTTTTGTTGAAATGCGTGTTTGAACATTTTCTCTTTTATTTTTACCGAGTTATTTCATTATGTTATTATTATTGGCCTTAGTTCTTCCCTCTGGAGTGGCTTCCTTTTCTTGGGGAGGACATTCTACACACTGGGACACAGAAGAGGGATGCACACGTGATTTAGTGAAAAGGGCACAGGTTTGGAAATGGGCAGGTATGCTTGGACCTAAGTTCTATATCTGCTGCATAAAAAACTATGTCACCTTGGGGAACTTGGTAAATAACCCTGAACCTCAGTTCATTTGTCTAGGCCTGGTGAACTCATTTCCTAGTGTATCTATGAGAAGTAAACAAAACACTCTTATTATATGAGTGGCACCAGATGATAGCAGCCCTTGGTAAGTCAATGTCCTGAAAGGAGTTTACTTATGAGAACTTTGATTATAATTATTATTAGACTTCCATCAATTGCAGGCAGTCATGTTAAATAACATCTGGAATTGCACCTTGGTTGTGGTTTACTGTTTTCCCTCTTCCTTTCTCTACATGCATATGCAGCTTGCATAAGAGTTCTATCCTCCACAAACACACTTGATACACTCCAGTGTGACATACTCCACGCCTCAGTTCTCCTCGCCTCTCACCAGAGTTCAGAAACCCTGGATTTCACTGGCTTCTCTTCCTGGCTCTCTTGTGTGTACACTGTCCTCATTCTTTTCTAAGTTCCTCCTTGTTTATATCTTGCTCAGATAGACAAAACACTAGCGGCTTCTGTGAGCAGTATTTTTTGCGGCAGTGGTAGAGAAATCCCCATGTCCCTGTCCCTGGGGACTAAAGGTACAGATGGCTATCAGCAGCTAATAAGAAGAATTGTTTTCCTCTATAATGCAAGGAGCATAGTGGTGGTTGCTGTCTGGGTCTCTATCTTGCACTCTGAGAGTCACTACGGGGTGGAGCTGCCCTTGTGGTGTTCTTGGTGGAATTGTGGGGGTGGGAGAGCAGGGCCGGAGCTATTGCTCTGGCTTTCTGACAAGAAAAGAGCAGCTTCCAGACAGAGTTCAACCTGAAAAAGGCTCCCCCGCTGCGCAGGAATTATTCACTCTAGGACATGCTTCCTGTACATCAAATATTCCTGCTGTCTGCAGAAGCTTGGATTTAACAGCTTAACTATTTCATGCCCAGTCCAAATGAGCTACAAAAGCTTCCACCACAGTGTGGTGCCCAGCACAGGTGCTTCTCATGGCATATTTATCCAGATCCCGTTCCTAAGCAGGCACAGAGGCTGTGTCTCCAAGTTGTCTAGTAGTAGATGTTACTGAAGTTCTGTGAGTGTCCTCATTCCCATCTTTCCAGGGCTGCTGTTCCTTCATGCCTCTAGTTCAGTTCATGCTCTTCCCTCGGTCCTACCCACCTGAGAAAACCCAACAGCTGGCTCTATAGAAGATGCCAAGAGGCCCATGGATTGTCACAGACTCCTTAAAAGGGGTGTGTTGTCCTCCCAGGGTTTTAGGGCTTAGATCCTTCCTGAAGAGCTTAGTATTCTCTCCCCTGAGGGGGTATGACACTATCTTATTGTAAAGCCCAGTGAGATATCTGGGACCAGAAGTAGAAGCCTTCTAGTCCTTTTCATGGAGAAATTCATAACAAGGGCATGTGGAAGGAGAAGTTGCATTAAACCCAAATCCTGCAGGATGGCCACAGAAAGACTGGCTTAGACTCAAATGCTAATAGCCCGCTGATGAGCATGGACAGCATGATTACACAGAGCGGCAAAGCCAAGTTGTCCACTCTCTCCCCAGCTGGCAAGAGCACCCTTCCCAGAACGGCCCCTCCTACCTCCCATCCTCTCTGCACTTAAAGAACTTCCGGGAATCACCCTTCCTGCCCCAAGCCTCTGGGCAAGTGCAGACAAATGAGTGGATTGAGAAATCACCCTTCAGAGATCCCTCAGTGCCTTCCCTTAAGATGGAATAATGAGAAAACGAAGCAACACACTAGATCAATTATTGTGCAGAGTCAAGTGCCCTCACTAGAAAGAATACCAGATAAGACTTTAAGGCACCTCCAGAAAGTGAGTGAGGAAGGAGGCTTGTGGAGAGCTACCATGAGCCACCCTCCTGGCCCCGCCCTGTGACAGATGGGTTTGCCTCCCCTGCCTTCTCCACTCCTCACAATAAGGGTTATAATGCTGAGGTTATGAGCAAGAGGACAGTATCATGGAGTCTTAAGACTCTGTCTTAGGTCTCACAGTGATTAGCAACAGACCTGCACTTAGCCACAAGTCCACCAGATTTCCAGTCCACGGAGTCTCACCGCACTCTTTCTACCTTTTCCCATGGTCCATGGTTCTCACTCTCCTCACCCCGTGCAGCAGGCCCCTGGTCTCTGGCCTTGCCTTGTGTAGACCTGAGGCTGAGCCGAGTCCACAGCTGAGCTTGCTTCCTCTCTTCTGCAGTTTTCTCAGACGCATTCATGAGGGCACCATGGCCAGGTACAGTCTTCTCTCATTCGCTCTGCATTCTTATGTGGGCTGCTGGGGGCTGCAGGCCTTAGTGGAGGGCAACACCCGGATCCTGTGGGGAGTGGGGTTAGAGTTCCTAACTCACATCTGACATTGTTATCCCAGCCTTATCTAGTCCCTGGTTGTGTTGCTGCCACTGTCGCATGTGTGTGTTTGTCTTCTGGTTGGTCTGAGGGTAGTTCTGGGCTCAAAGCTCATTCGGTAAACAGAGAGACCCAACCTTTCCCCAGCGCAGGTTAGTGGTTCCACCCTCTTCTTTATGAACTCATTTTCCAGAATCCTCTTTTGACCATTGTTTGGACACTAAGGATACCAAAAAGAATGAGGCTTGGTCTTAGCCTCCTCATAATTCACTACAGGGTGAGATAGGTATTATCATTCAGTGTTCAGCTCAAGAAGTGGACGTCATTCCATGTGTTTCAAGCAGGCAGGATTTTAATCGAGGGATTAGGTACTTATGAAATCATCCCAAGGGCTGGAGGAGTTGATTGTAGGCTCCAGGGATGACTTCCAGAGGGAGGAATTACCTCTGTTCCATCAAAGAGGCAGCCAGTCAGAAAGCCCAAAACTAGGTTATTACTGAGTTCTAGTTTCCAGAATCTGTAACATACCATACACTTGCAATCTAAGAATCAGAAATCCAGCACCGGGAAGCTGTTATCACTGCTGTTCAAACTGACTCCTGCCAATCATAAAACTATTGGCTGGTTACTGGTTTATGGTGCAGAGAAATGTCACGTCTCACAACTGTACTTGCCAATAGGAAATATCTCAACATCAAGAAGCTCTCCCTTGAGTTTCACATTCTGTACTTGAACAAATATTGGTGGGGCTTAATTTGCACCCAGAAATTTTCCTGCAGGAACTATGGGAAATGGGCTTGTCGTATAGAAAATGAAAGTGAATATTGGGAGTAGCCTTCGGTGCCTGCCCCAAACTCATGGGTTTATGCGTGCACTAAAGTGTTAGAAGCAGCAGACAACACAAGGTATGGAGGGCTCACGAAGAAGAGAGCGATCCGTTCTACCTGGATATGAAGGACAGTGCAGAGAAGGCATTCCTGCCAGGTCTTGAAGAATATCCCCTAGAAGTCTGGAATCAGTTTGCACTTGCTTTGTGTGGAGTGGAAGAGAGAAAGAGGAATACAGAGAGCGATGAGCTTTTGGAGTGGACAGTGTTGGAATAAAGCAGAGCTCATTGTATATTAGGCTCGAGAGCTGAGACTTTCTCTTGTGTGATAGGAGGGGCTTTGGATGAGGCTAAGCAGAGGTGTGACAAGGTGGGATAGGTTTGGGAAGTGCTGTGGTGTGGGTGTGATTTGAGTGTGTCCCCAAATTTCGTGTGCTGGAAGCCTGGTCCTCAGCACAGCAGTGCTGTGATGAAGGTACCCTTTGAGAGCCAGGGTCTGCTGAAAGTGATTAAAATGTTGGGGATCGGCTGTTGGAAGGATTACTGTAGTTCTTGTGGGACCCTGGTTAGTCATGCTGTTAATGAAAGTGAGCCTGGACCCTTGGTACCTCAGGCTTCCTGCCTTACCACGTGATCTGTCTCTGTCCATGTGCTGCTGTCATGCAGTCACCACCATGTTGTGATGTGGCCCTAAATCCTCACCAGAGCACAGCAGAGGCCAGTGCCACACTCTTGAATCTCCAGAACAGTGAACTAAACAAAACTCTTTTCATTATAAAGTTCCCAGCCTCAGATATTTTGTTACAGTGACAGAA